ACATTTGCCCTTAATTATTGGCTATATCTTAACTATATTGTAACCCAAGCTCTCTTTTTAAGGGGTAAGATTTCTTCAGGTACTTATCGTTGTGAGCAAAAAGGCACTGGAATATTTTAGGATAGAATTCATTCTCGGTAACGCGCGGCTCTGATATTTTACTGTCGCCGTCCAGAACGATTGGGAGAGGGAGGAGAAAGGGGGTTATTTGATCGACTTGATATCACCCGGAACTTTTGATTTCTTGCGGTTTTGGCCAATCGTGTTTGGGTCGTTATGTACACACCAAATCCGATTTGGTCTCAGAAATGACGAACATGAAAACGTTTCTNGTTTCTTGGAAACATTTCGAAGAATATTTCTTCACTTTGGAAGGAGTATCTAAGCTGTTATTCTGTAAACTCCTTTCAGTTTAAACCAGGACAAAATGATGGATAGATTTGTTGATACAAAGTTAATTCACTCCCGGCCCCATCTTTTAGTTTTTCTGGCTGCAGGTAGAATATAAGCAACCTACGTGATAAACCTTAGTAAACGGAATTCAAATATTGTTTTTGAATTAATATTGTTCAGAATGCGTCATCAAACACATTCTCAGTTATACACACAATCGACACTCGACTCGAACGTGGTATATATACAACCCCTTTGAGCTTTGAACTACAGAACCATCATGTGGAACGTATGTGCACTACAATTGCGTCAAAAATCGATTCATCCCGGGACTGACTAGAATTACCACTTCAAGTTTGTTCGGGTGTTGTCTTCAGTGATACAAAATCAGTTTAATTTTGGCCTGACACCAACCATGGGAGTGTGCGTGTAATTCAATTCAAAACTTTGCACCAAACCTTGGCAAGCAACAGCTCATCATTATTTTATTTTGGTATAATATCTCAAAAAGGAACAAATATATTCACATATGTTGTAACAGGTTTTATCTGAATCATTTCACAAATTCTTCAGGAAGCGCATGGTCGACTTCGCAGTGATTGCCACTCATCAGATATGCGCATCCGGGATGTTTTCAAGCAGTCGCCTATGTCATTGAACCATAAAGTCTCGCAAAACATAAGGTCCCATTTTGCCTTTGATTCACGGATAGGTTGCTTCATAACAGAATGTATGCAAACTGCGTTTGGAATATATCAGGTCTCTTACAAATCTTTGATCATTCACTATTTTTAACAAGTACCTGCAGTTCTCATGAGGTGGTCGATAGCTATTCCAAATTTCCGGGTGAGGAGCTTAGATTTTGGTTTATTTGACAATTGATCAGTAGAGAAATTAATTGAATTGGCAATGGAAAGTGCGTTTATCTGGAGGGTACAGGGAAAGCCCTAGGATAGGCTCATACTGAATATACAGGTATTGACTAAACTCGTTCAACATCCTGATTTTTATCACATTTATTTCACTCAATGCTTCGTTTTTCTAGCCTCATTTACGGGGTCTAATATGATATTTCCGCACATCAAACACAACATATCTGATATGACATCCGCTTATATCTTTGGTTCTATTATTCACGTGTCATTAAAATGTATCATTTTACAATTTTGACGATGGCTGCTGGTGCATCAATTGAAAAATAACAAAGTCACGGTAGAAAAAATAGCAGGAATATATTCATTAAAATTACTCATAGACTTCATATAGGTATTGTACTTTCATCTTGTCCATGTTTCATTTGTCCTTCTTTATTTTTGAAAAATGGAGGCAGTCGCTTTAGCAGGGATTCCACCAGGTTCATTGCCAAACAGAATTTGACAGTTTCCTCTAGTACGCCACACACCCGTACCACTGATGACCAATGTCGAGGCAGGTGACTTATCCCTGTTTCTGATTAAATTAAAATTCCAGCCGCTGCGCGGTAATTGAATGAATTTAACATTGAAATTGACCCCTCCAGAGATGGCAAGAATGTGAAAAAATCAACATCTAATTAGGTCTAACCACTTTTTACTACCAACCTCAAACGAGAAGATGTACTGGCCTTCATCTGGGAAACATATGACTTCGGAGATTGCATTTAAAGAGTACCGGTTACCGAAAGCCTCCGTTATCAGTGCAAAACATTTTGTGATATCTAGATTGGTATGTGCATGAGACCAATAGCAAGGCACTCGGTATTTACTTCCCTTCTAACTCATCAGCTGGGATGAATATTTACTGCGGTTAACAGGTAAAACAAAATTCATTAGAAACCTATCTCAGCAGATCAGCTTTCATCGCATGCTGAATTAATCGTTGGCCACCAGTGAGATAAACCCATTGCCAAATGGACGGGTGACGCGATTTGAATTTGTTGGTAAAATCATTAGGTGCTCTGCTTTGTTGGACGCTCTATAACGGCTTTGAGTCACACGGCCTCCGCAATACCTTTAAGCGAGCCATCATTTCCCAAGCGAAAGTGTGAGAAAAAAATGACTAAGCATACCGGAATATCCTCCAGATTGGTTTTGTACAACTCTTTTCTCCTGCAATCAAATACAACCATCGTCTTGCTTTGATATGATCGGTATTAGCCCTCTCGGTTTGTGTCTTGTAGGAGGAATTTCGTTAGATAAACAACAAATGGGAATTATGTTCACAATGAAGCATTTTCACAAGACACCAGCTGAGTCGCCGGATTTACGCGCCTCCCAATTACGTGGCGTCTAGGCTTCAATTATTTGCCAAAAACCTTTTGAATGCTTCATCCGGTTTGAGAGTGGTGACACTACAAAATGTCTATACAACGATCCGCACACCTCAAGGTCAACTTTAGAAGATCAACTTGTTTGTTTCTTGGACGAAGTTTTCAGTCCTTCTAGTACTGTGGATAAAGCATGAGTAGCTTATTGCCATATAGTTTATCAGTTTTTTTAAGCTACAATATTTTCATTAATTTGCTTATTTACTATGCACTGAATTAAAAGACATAAGCAATTTAGAACACGTGTGTTCAGTTTAATAAACACTCTCATGGAACAATAATCATGTATTAATGAGAATGAATTCCCATGCTGCGTTGCTCAAAATATTTTCGAAATCTCATCTGTCCTTCGAACTACTACAAATTTTATCTCGACGCTCAAGGTTGCGAAAATTCAAACGGTGAAAGAAGAGAACTAAGAATGTAGATATAGGAGATGAGATCAAGAATAAATACAATTTACCCATAGCCAAAATATACAAGTATGATATTGGAGACTGTAATGTACTTCCAAAACGCGTGCGGTCGTTTTATCAACATCTGTATTATTTTTCATCATGATTGAATACTCATGAGTAGTAATGTGATAATCGACACTATAAATAGGGACCAAGCTGGTTCCGTGATGGATATCAGAGACAACCGTGGTCCATATTTTAGGTGAAAACAACAAATTCTTCTGGCACTAGTTAATGGTTAGTAATGTTACATGGATTCCAACCTTACCTTGATGATTGATCCGAGTTAATAGAAGCGTTAGTCAACGCAAACTTTATATGCGTCCTAGGGAGTCGATTCGAGATAAGCCTATCTCGTGGAATCATTGCGGGATTATGTTTTGCTTTGTGTTAGTTAGATAGGTTTAACATCAAAAATCTTGATTTGACAATGGATTAGCGTATGAGCATGCATTACGGGTGGCAATTGTTCGAGAAAAGTGTTACGTCCTTTCGGTAAATTTCGTCCCACCATTCACACACTACTCATCATGATAATAGGAGTATATCAGTCATCAAAAAGGCTGCTCAGTACATGCATTAGATTGAAAACATTGTCAATTTATTTTACTAAACCGAGTATTGGGTCTATGGTTGCACATGACCACTAACTGTTAGCCGTTTCGCTTGGAACATTCTACAAATCAAGTTGGGCAATTTCAGGACAGGATTTCATGAAAAGCCATTTAAAGTCCGACCAATTTATTTTCACTTTTATATCAAGCTGCATTCTTTTCTCGCATGAATTTCACAGCATTCGCTTCAATTTTTCACTAGAAACTGATAAATTGGAGAACCTTACGATGTTTACCTGCTGCCTATGTTCATAAAGCTATTCTTTGCAAAATAGGGACTCGTTATAAACAACATCTTGATATCTTTCATTGATTCCAAGCGAGGAAACTGCACCAATTTGGTCTTCCATTTATAAATGTGATGCTTGATCATATGTGACCTTATTCCAAGAACTTTGGACACTTGGTACATCTCGATGATTTACTGTTCGAGACAACACAATTGACATTATAGGAAAGCAAAATTACAAGAAGCGTTCGAAAATGACAACTTGATGAGAAATGTTTTGGGAAAGGCAAGTGGGTCAACTTCACCGTGAGACAAAATAGTGAATGTCTTAATTCCGTGTCTGTTGTGATTAACTTGCATCACACGGCGAAACTGTCGGTTATCACCCACGGGTTTGGGGTGCGCTCCGTGGTTTAAGTTGGGAGACGAAAGCTATTTCCACCTCCTTTCCTAAGTTTCAAAATCCAATAGACCTTGAAACCTGCTTTGAGACTTCACAACACTTTCGAAGGATCTTCATATTGTTCCAACCACGCCATATACAAGGACTTTCACCAGAGCTTTATGAATACTTGATGGGAACACGTTCTCAATAGTGCCTTGACAATCCACCGTAATCAAAAAATAGCATTTTTTCATTGAACACCAGATCACTATGACTGTTGATATCATGGCTTTAATTAGCACAGTTTTGCATCACTCCGGCTACCGTGTGTATGAACATTTTGCAATCTACCTTACACCAACTTAATGATGAATACAGTGACCTACTTTTATCTCAGGTGTAGTGAAAACTTTTTCTGACGAGTCCTTGTCATTTTCTCAGAGTTTGTCGGAAAACGATAACATACACTAATCTAAACGACAGTGGAAATAAAATAAAACCGTTCCAAATAAAGAATAATAAGCTGAATGATTACACATGTGGATTTCTGCCCACGGATGGTGTTTGTGCTCGGGACTTGTGGTGATGAAAGATGATGCCCGAGCAGATCACGGTCCTAGTGCAACTCGTACAGTTTGGACCAGATCTGAGCTAAACACACGGTGGAATGAAATCGGAAAAAAATGATCAATGGAATGAAACAACATGTGATCACAGGCCACGTGCGAATCCCGTAGTATTGTCGATGCAAAATCAGCTGACTTTCGGATTCGCGAAATTCAAATGTGTTCATCAACCACAAAGCCAAATTGTTGATCAATAGGAATACAATTGCCGAACGACCCGGTTTGATTCGAGCCTGATTTGGACAACACGGTCCGCGACGAGATGCTTCGACTATGAAGAAAAATTGTAACAAAGCTTGACACAGCTCAAGAGTACATTTGACCAGATACAATAAAGCGGTCCCATTCAGTTTCTCTATGGTGACCGGATTTGCGCTGTCTCGTATCTCCTGTTCTTTGGGCACCGATCCGGACTGGCCATCTGTGGATTGATAGATCATGGTATGCACAACCGTTTCCAGGGACGGGACAAACAGGAGCATATGATAAGTCAAACATCCAATCAGTCCGATTCCCAACAAATTGTACTCGAAACTTTCCTCGGCTTTGATACGACGAAATTTCATGGAGTAGGTTTGAATCAAGGCCAGGGAACATGCGAGCATACTGACCGACAGCATAAAAATTTTCGAATACTGATAGACATATGGTATAAATTTACCAAATGCATGTCGTCCTCGACCGACAGTGAAAATCACACCAATAATACAGGCCAGAAATAGCATCAGCCCGAGAAACAGTCCCGTATGCGATCGGTGACAGTAACTTTCACTCTGAAGCCGTGTACGATGAGGTCTGATATGAATGGTCTGAACTGAGTCCGCGCGAGTCTTGTACACCTGACGTCCTACAGAGAAAACGGGGAGTGAAAGACAAATCATCTCTAGATTGTGCATTTCATTTTGTACCTCATGATAAGGGGATCACGCAAATGACGATTCAGAATTTAAACCAAATTCAGTGCGATTTTATTTCCGTTTATCAGATGAGTGGACAAAAACGAGATTGCATTACGCGCGATATCCTACTGTATTCGCTTATCTGTTGAACATCTGCTCCACGAACGTATTTAGGAAGTGGACTTTAGTATCTACATGTACAGCGATAAGAACAACCGGATTGAGGCTTGCCAGTGGCAAAAACCACGGGGTGGACCAAGCCTCGGTTTCAAGCTGAGTTACTCAACTTTTCCATACGTCAGTTTGCGTATGACTATGCCAGGAACAGGCGAGAGGGTTTGCGGGACTAAAAAACCCCATTTATTTCAGTTATGTTGGTGGGACATGGTGCTGTCAAACGCAGCAGTGCAAAAGATGACTTAGAAGGTTTAGCCAATTTATTCATTTGCTGAAACTGAATGGGACGGGGGGGGAGCTGAGGAAATGTTTAGTCTTCACAATCCGGGGAGAAATCTCCTGGCGACACTATTCGTATGCAATGTAAATTCAAGAAACTGTATCGGTTAGTTGCAGAAAGAAGTGCGCTCCACCGAAGACGCTCACCAACGAAGTTATTTCACCTGAAGTTCCATGAGCATTTGGGGTTGGTCTCGATAAATGATAAAATTATTTTTCTTCTTAATTACCGACATGAATATTATTCTTCGGGTTACAAAAAGTAAAAGAACCATTCACATATTTTGTAGTAAACTTAATAAAAGGAGGCCATCAAACCAGCTGCTTTTGTCAGAGCATGACAAGAGTCAATGACACATAGTTCAAATCATAGTTGCTTAGCATTATACTCATTTAATACGAATTATCTTGGATAAGGAATAACATTTACTTCTTCAGTATCTATGTTTGTAGAAAACCATACTGGTGACGTATGCGAGGCTATAAAGCGGTATTTCCAATTCACTGCTGTCTATTCTGCTCAAATAAGCCAAAGGACGGTGCGTGTTTTAAGTATTTCGAATTCTGTTTACTGAAGAGTTCTGTTTACTGAAGATATGGGAGACTGAAATATCCGTCACAGGTCAATCAAACCAGTCAACCAGTTACGCGTTCTTGAGGAGAATGATGAAATGTTTTTTCTGGGAATGGGAATGTTCCCAAATGATGCGCAGCAAATCCGAATGTTCAGCTTCACTACATGGAACATATTCTTCTAGCCCATTAATCCCAGTATTTCGAAACAACCCCTTTATTGCCCTTGGTAGAATGTCTTCATCTGGTGCCCATCGGCTTATCAACTGTCTGTCATAAACGCTCCTATAAGACAGTGGCAGGCAGATTCAATAAGTGAGCACACCTAAAATGCTACGGATGCGCTGTAGACCGCTATAATGGCTGTGGCTCTTCTGAGTGGAATCAATCCAGAAAGGCCTTTTTACAACCCGTATGGTAGCGTGATTGTTCAAGACAGAGCATACTTCAATGAGGCATAATTTTCGTACAATTTCCAATTAAAAAGCATTGATTAATACTACTTACAATGCTGGATTTACCGCTTTCCATTTGATTTTGCGTGCAGAAATAATTTACAGATTCAAATTGTATTTAGCAGTTCAATACTCGCCACAACTATAAGACATTAGGGTGCATGAAATTTCACTGCAGTTTTGCTACATCGATCTTATACAGTTTGTAACTTGAACTGTGTGTGTTACTGGATTTCATTGGCGAATAAAATGCTATGGCGATCATACGGTTCATCTTAAGATACTGATTACCATATTTCTCATTTAAAACAACATGGGAATTTGTTTTGTTCTTTTATCCACAAAACTATATTCCATTCTTTTTTATTTCCAAAAGCTTGAGCTGGTCAGTTTCGACGCGTTCGGAAGTGATTCACCATGCAACACCAAAGTGTCACAAATAACACCGAGGAAAAAACTCGAAACCACTGTTGTACAGCTGTTCCTCTCTTGAAGACAAGTGTTCACTTAAAATATGTATGATACCTGTAGCAAGCTGACCAACACGGTTGTCGTGTACGGAGAAAGCGAAACCATCCGATCAGCTAATCAGTTGTAAAGCACATGGCGTAAATTACTATACAATTCTCTGGTTCCATTTTCCATCGTACGTAAAATAATGTATATACTAGGGAATCTGTAGAAATGTACAATCATGCGGTTTGTTATGGCTCCAACGCAAATATGAATTCCACCAGAGATCACTACCCTATACGGGGCTGACTCCAGTGTCTGCTTCCGCATGAAGCTGCTAATATATCAGGGAGATATATAATTTTCATTAGGTATTATTTAGACGACCAAGAACAGTACTGCTTCCTGGAACAGAGGGACCAAGCATTTTATAACCGTGACACTACACACTTTGCAAAACTTTTACGTGCATTTTGGTCATTGATTAAATTTGTGATTTGGTTGTTACCAACGTGGTGTGTTACCTTTCACAGACGAACAGTCCTGGTCCTCTTCTTCCTCGTCCAGTTCCGGAGCCAAATAGACTGGACAGCCAAGCAGTTGGCGATAGCTTGTGTGTTTTCGACACCGATTGGGCCGTGTGCTCACATCGTCAGTGGATTGATAGGGTAGCAGATTGGGTGCTCGGAGTGAGGATATCTCACCGAACGAGGCAAGTGATGGAAGAGTGGACAAATTTGCAATCGGACTTGTTTCATCCGGGAGTCGCGGAGTGGTCATTAGGGATGTGCAACTCGGATATTTGGACAGTTTGGCAGATGAGGTCTGACCAACCCGTTGCAAAAGTTTATAAAATAACGTGCCAGTAATCAAACTGTATTCAATAGCTAACGGGTACAAATACGGTTTTATCAGTTCTCCCAGGTGTCCATCGCACAGACCTCCGATTTTGTGACCTTGGGCTGAAATCAATATGCATGTTATAAGTTTATTGGTTCAAAAGAGAAAATTCATGCGATGCATATGAGAATAAAGCGAACACAGTGTCCGTCAGTTAGATTTTAGCTAATTTCACTGTTCCGGTAATGGACTGCTCTCAGATGTCCACGTTAATAACATCAACTTGTACTAGAATCAATGAATGATGATGATGATTCAATGCTGAGGCATCAAACATCCAAATAACGATAGAGCAGCCATAACTGCGTCCGTGAGCTGATGCGAATCATTCATAACCTTTGAAATTTTGAGAGAATGCAGTTAAAAATAACATGATCCACAAATTATCGATTCATCAGCTTTTAATTGCTCCACGACTTTATACTGAAATGTGATGAGTTGGTCAGAAAAGGCTGATAATGAAGGACGCTTAAGAACGTTTAATGTCACCAACTTCTCGCCCTGGAGGAAGACTGTTAAAATCGCACCACCGCTACCCGAATCACCTCTTCGGTTTCGCCAGTTAGCGCTGCGTTGACCACAGCCCACCTACATCCTGAAAGTTGTTGTACTCACACACACACACACACACACACACACACGCACACGCATATATATATATATATATATATATGTACATATATATATATATACTGGTATTGACCAAACTCGTGCGACATTCTGACTTTCAACACATTTGTTTTTCCCAACGCTTAGCCTTTTTTCAGTCCTATTCAAGAGATTGAATATGATATTGCCCCACATCAGACGCAACATTTTCGTTATAATATCCACCTGTCTTTGATTCCGTTAGTTGAGTGTCAACAACGATTGCTGGTGCATCAGGTGTAAAATAACAAAGCCACGGTAGAAAAAACTATAACTAGAATGCATTGATAAAAATGACTCTTAGACTTCATACAACTATTGTACTTTAATTTGGTTCATATTCTTTTTGTCCTTTTTCAAATTTGGGCATTGAAGGCAGTCGCTTTAGCATGTTGTCCACCCATTTGATTATCCTACGGAATTTGCCAGTTTCTTCTAATACATACCGCACTCTAACTACTGATGACCACTGCCGAGGCAGCTAACTTATCCTTGTTTCTATCACAGGGAAAAGTTTTAGATTACGTTTAAATCCCAACTGCTATGTGGTAATTAAATGAATTTGACCTTGGAATTGACCCCTACAGAAACCATATAAATTTAAAAAGATATTATTTAATGAGATTAAACCGTTTTATACTACCAACCCCAAGTGGGAAGATATACTAACCTTCAACTGTGAAAAATATGACTTCGGTGGAAGCATTTTTTGAGTAACAGTTATCAAAAACTTCCCTTTTCATCGCAAGACATTTTGTGATATCCAGATCGGTTTATGCAGTAGATCGACAGCAAAGCGCCAAATATGTACTTCCCTTCTAACTCGTTAGGCGAGATGGATAACTACTTATTTTATTATGTGAAAAGGAATGCATTGTAAGACCAGGTCACTAGATCAGCTTCCTCTGCCTCGTGAATTCCCAGGCAGCACGAGAGGACACTCATTCGTCCTTTGAGTATCCTCTTGGGGACACTTGTTTAATAATGCTGTTAATCCCCCTGATACGGTGTTTTCGTCATCAGAATACATGAAATTGTTCAGATTAACCATTTGAATCCGTGTAGTTCATAAAATAACGAAAATTTAGTCCAAAAATTGATGCTCTTGTTCAAAAAGGAACATCATTTTTTGGACGGCCGCGTGTCCCCTTGTGCGGCCTGGGTTACCCGTTGACCTCCAGTGAGATAATCCCATTGCCAAATGGACGGGAGACGCGATTTGAACGGTTAGTAAAATCAATAAGTGCACTACTTTGTTGGGCGTTCCATTACGGCTGCATATCACGTGGCCTTAGATGCACTGTAAATTGAGTCATCGTTTTCCAGACGAAAGCGGGGAAAACTCCGCTAATCAGCCCGGACTATGCACCAGATTGGTTTAGTTCAACTCGTCTCTGCTGCCCTTAAATGCAACCATCCTTTGGTTTCGATACGATCGGTTTTCTTTCTCTCGGTTTATGTTCTGATGGAAAAATTTCGTTGAATACGCTACAAATTGGACTTATGTTCACATGGAACCACTTTCAGAAGACAACAACTGAGTTATCGGATTTATGTTTCTCGAATAATTTACCTCTAGAATTTAATTCTAGGCCAAAACCTTTTCACTGTCATTCGGTTCGGGTATGGTGACACTACAAGACTCTTACTCAACGAGCCACACTCCTCAAGGTCAACTTTTGAAGGTCAAATTGTATATTTCTTGGAATAGATTTTTACTTCTCACAGTATTAAGGATATTGTTAGTATCCAAATAATTTATCAATTTATTAAATCTAGAATATCTCCATCAATTGGTTTATGTGAACTAGGTTCTATTCTGGTAGTTTCGTGGCAATATATCCCGAAGTGGCATGAAAGTCCTGATTTGTTGGTAGGCTTTTGACTAGAGGTAACATAAATTTGTCTACCTTCTTTGCTTGCAGTTAAAATTAACTTGATGACTATCACTGGAGCGGATATACGAATAAACTTGCGTTCTTAATTCTGTTCAGCATCGGTGTCTGCTGGCTTGCACCATCCATACGATGCGCTTGGAATTCTAAGACCAGATGGGACGACGAATATGCATGACTGAGGAGGACTAATGAGAGTCAAACTCTATTCCAGTGATTCTCGATTGTACAACTGAATAACTGAACAGAAGATTGTGTGTGAGGATAAAGTCTGAAATCTGAGGAGTACAGATCACTATCACCCATCCCACATCACTATTCACAAACCACTCGGAGTTAAATGTGTCGTTTTACGAAGTGCGTTGCTGATCACGGTATGTAGTAGAATCTCATGAAAGGACGACTTAAAAGTAACCAGCCCAAGGAAACATTGGGTATAATATCGTGCAATAAATTAAAAAGACCGGGAAACTTCATTTCCGCTCTAGAGAGCACGTAATTTACATACTGTAATGTCCGCCGCTAAGCTGAAATGGCTTGTGATTCGGTTTTTTATTTTGCATTATCCCACTAATAACAAACAAAGTAATGATAACTAATGCGAGTATTTAGTATTTCCGATGTGGCTCGTCCAGCGATTTGGTTTGTTAATTTCTATTTTAGCATATATTTGTCTGTTTTGAGCCAACGGCTCCATCAACCCATCCTACACTACGTATCGCTTTTCACCGGCAGACATGAAGAAATTTGTATAGTTTCACCGCTCGAAGGATCCGCGGTGCTTAATTGTTTTCAAGGTGGTACCGATGCATCTTCCGTGAAAGTGCACTACCGGAAACTTTAAGGAGAATGAGACACAAATCTGCCGACTCTGAACCGTTTGGTTGATGAGATGAGCTCAAGATTGTACGAGAATATCTGACTGCGGCAAAGTCAATCGCTGGAGTCGAGCTCAATCTTCCAGGTTACTCGAAAGGTAATATAAAACATGCATGGTGTTGGATATGAATATGAATGTAAATATATGGAAGAAACATGATAAAAAATATCCTTAAATCATCCAATTGCACAGTTCCGGGAAAACGTCGCAATTATTTTCATTGATTCTATTTGAGATACGGAACCAATTTCATCACAATGGTTTGAACTCCAAATGATAACCACGTTCAAATTTGATTAAACGCTCATTTGCTCTAATGATAGTATAGACTAATCACAGAGAAACCTAGAACAGTCCGTCAGACGGTCTGTGAGATAGTTTTCGCTCACCTGTTTTTGCAAAATTATGCACAAAGGTCCCGCGATGGTCCACTGTCTGTGAACGAGAACAATAAAACCATATTATATTTCGTTTTGAAGATCCGGTGTTTAGCCTGCCCAACTACTGCGATCATAAACCACTGGAAAATCAACGTGTTAGTTTATTTTGAACGTGACTAGAACTTGTAGGGGCAACTAACTAACCACATACAGAAGTTTCGTGTGATTAATGGAGGATTTGATCAAATTTCAAAGGTGAAATTCGTCATATAAACAGCAAATGGAGCGTGAACTGAAAAGCTAGGAAGCACTGGATAGCTGTTTCTACCTGGTTGGGTTTCATCAGCAGTGTGTATCCTTCGATCCAACTGGGGATCGACAAATTTCAACTTGAAATTGAATCAAATCCTGCATTACTCACATGAAACAAGTAGTCAGGTTGTGAATATTTCCAACCGAGTCATAACTCCGAAGGGTAGTGCTGAGATGAGCAAGTTCTGTGACCTGCGACAATCTCGAAAAGATGGATTGTGCTATATCGTGTAAATGGAAAATGAAAAACGGTTCGATCAGCTGCCCGGTGGCCGAGTGGGTAGAGTGCTTGCGTCCTGCGCGTGAGGTCCCGGGTTGGATAACCAGATTGGTCGATGGATTTGCACTGCTGATGAGACCCAACCTGTTAGAAACAGCTGTTCAGTGCTTCCTAGCTCTTCATTTCACGCCTCACTTGCTATACACACGACGAATTCGACCTTTGAAGATACACAAGTAAATGTCGAAGAACACAATGAGCAATAACTATGTGACTGTACAAAAAATCTGTGAACGGCCCGTGTATTTGACCTTTCGACAAAATTGCTTGAGCCTCTCAATATTTTCCCTGCGTTGTTCCCGAGCGATCACATCCACAGAATCCGAACAAACTGCACAGCTTCTTATTCAACCTACACGTACTTGTGAGTAGTGGTGTGGAATGAATTATAATGATGTGGACTGACCGCCATTCAGATTTTATGTTCACGCGCAACCTCCAGGTCATCAATTCAGTCTCAAATACATGTTTGACTGAATGAACTGACGATTGCGCATGAAAATGAAGTCTGAACAATGGTCAGTTCACATTAAAACTACATAGTACCAATATAGTCTAACTACTCACAAGTAGTTTGAATTATGTCTAGAACAAATATGATCACATCAAATCAGTACAGGAAAATTTAGATTGGTTGCTCAAAACGTAAGCACAGTCCTCTCACCAAATTACAACTTGTTCCAAATTTGTGTGAGGAATTACGCCCAATCGACGCTGATACTACTGCTTCCGCCGCTGCCACATGGGTTTCCACATTCGCGTCGGCTCGCTTCAGGGTTTCGGAGACTTCACTGATAACCGCCTTGATCCAGTGGCACAAGTTGATCGCAGCCAAATGAGTGAAGGCAAGCCGCACAAAAAATTTATGCGTATGCAAGATCATCTGTGACAGTTGAGAGGGAACATGATATGAATGGTGACATTTTGCGAATATTCTCGTCAAATGGGCTCCACAGTGGATAGAATATTAAATTGAAATACACAGAATAACCGACTCTGAAATGATCACCAAATGTTATCATAATAATTTATCAGATTATAAAAACAATATTGGAATTACCAGTTTAAAAATCTGAATTTAACATTGTTAATGACTAGGATACGGCATGTATGACGACCGGTATATTTAAAGCTGCACAAATACCGGGGTCATCAATAAACCATAGAGGGTGACAGGAAAATATCCCAAAGCAAACCACCTTAAATTTCCTGTAGCCTTTGCCAACTGGGTTTTTGCAAGCTTGGATGATAAGTAAAACCGAAGCGGTTGCTCTTCAGTGTGGTCTAAGCGCCTAATGTGATGTAATTTTATCGTGAAACAAGAGGATGAAACACCTCGAGCAAAATTTCATCGACAGTGTACGAAGTGTTGAGGATAGAATATAGGACAATCGGTAAGTTACGAAATTGAAATGATTTGTTTGATTGCAGCGCTAATGTGTTCTTTTCACGGCATCAACAAAAGTACTGGTGCGTATTTATGAAGGCAAGACAACGGAATATGAATTCACCTGAGGTTATGTTGCCGACTGAGAAGAATTCGTTTTGTGCAAGTAAACTATTTGTTTTACTTGCCTCACAGAGCAAATTTGGAAAAAATTGTGACGAACAAGCAAGTTTTCAGTGATTCATGTTCATATAAATGCATTAGAATGCATATATCTCACTAAATAAGAATAAAATTGTCCGGTAAAGAAAAGTAAAAAAACACTGCATCAGTGATATATAAGTTTGATTTCATCGCGGAACCCGAACTCAGACGTTCAGTGATCACAAAGGTGTTTGTTCATACATCTAACCAAGACTACTCGGTATATGAAGTGTGTGAGTTGGAACATGTGGGAGAGGGGGTGTAGCGCATGCACCAATTGCTTTGGAGCAAACAGTGTGGGGTAGTGGTAGTACTACTAGTAGTATTATTGGTTCTGTAAATCTGCATCATAGTGCCGGGATGATGAGAGTTATTCATTTGAAGAACTGCACGGGATGGCAGTAAATAATGTTACGTTGAACGGAACATCTAATTCGGAACAGTTGTTTAGTATTTTTGTGATCCTCTCCTCATTGGTGATCGCCAGCGTGAAAGTCTGTTTGTCTTTTCTGGTATGGCAAAAGTCAATAATTTGATCAAAATGCAGATGCCGTGGGAATCCAACAATCGCTTCTTGGTGAGCGCAAACTACTCACAAATGTGACTAGAACCTCACAATGGTAAAAATTACATATAATTAGCGTAGAGATTTACGTAACTTGATACAAGCTCCGGTTCAGGACTGCCTCGGCACTGTCTCTCTCCGGTCTGATCACGTGCATGTTCGTCTGTGCGTTGACCACAACGTAAACAGTAATGAAATGCTGTGGAGACAGCTTAGTAAACATGGTTGACATTCATCCAATACTGGATGGTGTGACTAATGTAGAACGACAGACTTTTCCCTTAGGGTTGGGGTCAGGGGCAAAACAGTCGATTTTGTAGTCAAAGGTTGCGACGATGCACATGAGCACACGTGTATGAACGCACCTACAGACTGGCCAACGAAATGACCTTTGTTGACCCTTCTCGAGTACAAATCAGTTCCTTAGATATGAAGAGAAACCAATAGAAATGGGAACCGGTTGGAAGGTCTGTATACAGGTGCATCTGGAATTCTCATACACCGATTAGTCAGATTTCAAACAGCCCAAGTCGAATTCACGGCCTCACTGCTGCAGACAGACAGTATGTAAAAAGTATTTATCATTCGCGTAGATTCATTCACAGGTAGAACCAAGGTCTGTTACAGCACCGATTGGCGGTGTCAACTATGTTCACCAGGCCATTCCCAGAATATCACACCGTTTTCTTCGTTTCAGTGAACACATAGATGCACACGCACATAAACAGATCGGAGATATACTGTGTGCGTATACGCCTGTGTACCAAAGCTCGGTCCAGGCTACGCAGTTCTGCATGCTAATTATCTGTAATTGGTAAATGGGTGTTTGCAGCAGTGAGATTGATTATTTGTTGTACGAGAATTCCAGATGCACCTGTTTATTCACCACCAATTCAAAAAAAAATTAGAGAAGGTAACAATAGCACCATAGCAAATTTTGCATCGTACAACTAAAAAGAAATTCTCACATACAAGTTAATGATCTGTTGTTCACTGAAGGACACAGTACCCTGTTGAGCCTCCTCGCTGACCTGGCTCTGCCCGACTAGGTGCATCCGGTTACAAGTCCGGGTTTTTATCTGATCGCGTTTCTGAACACCGCTCAGTCGGCTTGAAATGAAGAACAATCACGAGCATGGTATGGTTTCAGCTCATTGAATCAAACCTTTTCCGGATGGGACAAATGCATTCAGTCTGATGTACAGAGTTTGGCATGAGCAACCAGGAGGCAGGAAAGCCTCGCATTTACCGCCGTAGGCATTAGTTTATGCTTATCGTACCTTCGGCAAAATGTGTCACGATCTGATTCAGTCGTATATTCTTCAATCTGTAATGAACACGACCGTCGAGATGCAGTAACTGATTTCGATCCGGATTCTAGCACATAAACATACGCAGTTGTAAAACAATACAATCTGTCAGGATTCAATCAAGAGGTTTTCTGATCTTTGACTTCTGTGATCGACAAGCTTGTGTCACTGTGCTTTATTTGAGTTCTTCTGCTTATATTTTACTCCATCATTTGAAATGAGGGACTCATATTGGTAAACGTATTTACCGATGTTTTGAGAACTAACCAATATCTGCTTCGGTGAAGTGAGGATTAGTGCGAGGATCGATATTACCGAAGTTACCTATTTATCTGGTAATTCCATGATTTTAAAATAGTCTTATTATCAAGGAGGTGCTCTCTGATAGACGCAGGTTAGGCAAAGTCTGTCTATAGACTACGCATTGTGTATTTTGGTTGAGTTAAATCACCCCGAATCCAACGCATTTAGACACAGATGCGTAATGTGGAAGTATTATTTCAAAGCACCCGGTAAATGATTGCTTGACGAAAAACGTCTCCATCCAACTCCATTCGATTTATCAGTATTCTGGTACATGCACAAACGGTTATCGAGAACAGAACCGGATTGTGTCGGTGGCATCAGGCTCAGCGGTATGGTCTGTTCTGTTAGGCACTTATGGTGTTAAAATCTGTATCCATGTGCCCATTAGATGCTTTACGCAATGCGCCGGAATACCTCGAGAACGATGTCATCAACAAGTACATGAACGCACACTCATTAATTCAAATCGGCTAGACGAATTGACAAGGGTGGCCTGCAATTTGTTTATATCAGTGCGAATGTTCTCAGATTTCGAACTAGGCCGGCCGAGATTTGCATACAAGCCAAAAACCAGATCAGCATCAGGTGTTTACTTACAACTAGACCAGAAGCACTGATCATGTAGCATTCATAACAGCTTTGACAGCGAGAGGTTCTGTATTCCGTGTGAGGATGAAACTATCGCTTCATTATTACCTCAATAAAAAGGCCTAATAGAATTTTATAGAAGGAATTATCGACCTGATATTCTCATGAAAAGAAGCCCATAGGATAATTACACAGTATTCCTACGAAGGGAGCTGAAATATCTCTCAAAACTACTGTGACAAGAAACTTTTAGTTGTGTCTATCAGACGTTCATGGACAGTGGTTGTTATGATGATGGTGACGATGATGATGATGAATTTGATGCTGGTGGTCCGGTGGTGGTGGAGTTGACTTGTTGGTCACAACGGGAATACATAAATGTACATCAGAATTATAAGGCTTCCTCGTGACCGAAATCCAAGTTTTTCACAGTTTTCTCACCCAATCGCTACCACTAGGTTGACCAGAAACATTTGCAACGATTCATTATAACCTCGATTAGGAGTAAAGAGTCATAACGTGTCTCATGAAATTCAAGCGTCACGCCTGTGATGCGGGCATAAAAGAGAGACCGAAATGATTCAAAACATGCGTAGTTTTTTCTTCTCGGGATTTCTGAAGCAAAAAGTTAAAGGGTAATCAGTTCAAAAAACACCAATGGAAACCGGTCTGCGTGAATTTGGCGTTGCTCAGTCCGTACACACACGAGGAACTCACTCGATGATATTTGAAGACAAAATACGTCTGCCATAGTACCCAAATCAGACGTAGCACGTGCTTGGGAATCCAGAGCTCGCTATGACATGACGGTTGGTCGAGTTCCCATGCAGAGGACAAACTGAATCCGTCATGAATCATCACACCGAGACCAAAGCCTTCCGAGTGGTTGGCACAACACATCGAAGATGAGTAGACAGAAAAAGGATGTGATGAAGAGGGATTGACAGATGTCTACAATGTTATTTCCTCTCACTTTCCCTTTTGGTTGATACAAATCTTAGGTAAACATGTAAATTAAGTGAGATGAATGGAAAGTTATCTTTAAAATGAAAGGTGATATCGGACGACCTTATTGGTATGTCCTTAATCCCTTTTTTTCGGTGATTTGAAAGCTGCAAAATTGTTCAAAACTACGGATATTGGTTCAGCAAAACCGTCTGATATGTTTATCGTTTTCATGGGAACACCGTTCCAAATAAACTGATATTTTCGATCCAACCTATGCAAAACGCTACAAAGCACACTAATCATAGGCATAATGAAACATACCACACCGGAGAGACACCAAGTATGAAAGAGGTGGGTCAACAGTATTCTTGACTCATTCATTGTGGACTTATGGATGGTTTGCTTCTCATACACGTTCCTTCGTTTCTCGTGACTCTCGTGACTCCATTCAGTGTTGAAACGAGCTGATAAAGGCCAAGGAGAAACTACTTTTCCACCGTGCGCGATAGCCATGAAAGCAATAAAAATGAGTCGCCGACCTCTACTGTCTGTAACCTCGCATCGACCACAAACTGGCAATGACATTCCCAATTAGGAAAGCTTTGCTCTCAAACTAACCCTGCGGAACAGGAATGAGGTATATGATTGTCAAAAGTCAGTTCTTCAGGTAATGCTCTCGATATGCTTTCTCTAGTCCACTGGACACGAATCACATTTGGGAAGGGAATCACAGGCGTTTATGTATAACCCTGAACCAATCAGATTGTTCGGCTGGCAACATCAAAGTCTTATACGGACCAATTATAAAACACAATTGATGCAGTAAAACGAACGATCAATTCAAACTACACTTTCCAACACAATGATTACCGACCCAAACGTTTCCCCCGTAAGTACCTGCAGTACCGATCTTAAAAGCAAACAACACTGGTCAGTCCCAACCAGGAGAGAAAGGTATATCGCTAGTTTCTTCCAATTTGGAAGTGTTTCAGGCAAAGAAACTCAATTCACTCCGCAGACATGGAGATATTGGGTCTGTTGAGTTGCTGAGCGAGGCGCTTAAAAACAAAATGTCAAGTCCCATGATAAGTTTATGCACCTCAATAGAGAAATATTCAACAGTTCCGATCTCAAGGTAATTTATTTCGCCAAAAGCATAAGCTCGAGGCTTGTATGGAAATCGATCAATGGCACCCAGGCACGGGTTTGTCTTCCACGCATGTTCTCAACCCATTCGAAATCGTGTAGGAAACTTGCATTGCAGCAGTCTTGAGTAACTTTGCATTTAAGTTTGAGGGTGAATCATGTTCATTTCTCACTTGATCTTTTGGTTCGGGGTGCTTGTGTTCTTCCTTTCTTGAGCATTACCAGCTTACCCCTTTACGGAGAATTTACTGTCCGCGACGGTTCCACCCAATACCGAGACTTGGTCCACATTATATTTTCTCATTCATATTTCATAATCATTAAGCAGATCCTGATGCTTACTCGAGCCGAGGAACAGCATATCATCCATTTTCCCACATTATTGAATGCTCAATGGGTATGAATTTACATTTGGGAATGAAATCACCGACAACATTTGTTCACCTACGCCTGGCGTTCTCATTTTGACAATGGGCGCATTGGGCAGTTGAGCTGTAGGTGACTGTCTGAGCATGAAAAACTAGGCGGTTACCGCACGTCCACAGGATGTGAGCAGCGATTGGATGATACAGTACCGATTGCTACCATTGGACTGTCGTGCAACATGCGCCTACTTACTGATTATTGAATGGAAGTTGCTTGGTGGATGGGGTTGCATGACGAGAAACTTAGAACGAAAGCATGTGTTTAAAATTCCATATGTACCGAGTACTCACTTTATCTGGTATCTTTTGCTTTTATCTTTTGTTTACACTAAAGTATTCATCGAATATCGAC